ATAACCCGTGGCTGCTGCAGCACTCTATCAGGCTATCCTCTGTCCCATCCTAAATTTGTCAGCAAACGAATGCAAAACATTTTTCAATACTGTTATACTTTTCACATCAGTAGACATGGTTGGCTGACACATCAACAAAGTAAAGTCCAACGTTCAATACGTTATTTCGTGTTTAAAAAGCATTTACACTAGTTTCTGCAAATACTGTGCTTGATTCATCATTGAGAAAATAAAGGTGATAGGGTTACATTGATTAGTTTGTTTTAACTTCTAGAAGGTAAGTGAGAGGGGTTTGTGTAAAAAAACGGGTAACCGGGTACCCGGTCGACCGGGTACCTAACGTTCCTAGCAGGGTTACCAACTTTCAAAGTTCCACATTTCCCCCGATATATACAGGGTGGTCCAAAAAAATTTGGAACATTTGATAATTGAACGCAAAACTTTTATTTTTCTTCTAAAATGCACCAAACTTAAACTGAGCATAGGCTAGTTCAGTCACTTATTTATCTGATGTAAAGTTTATGGGTGTAAACAACAAAGTTAATGCATTAAACTAGACAATGTTTGATATGACCCCTCAACTCCTGAATTACAAGTTGAAGCCTGGGATTCAGTTTTGAAATGATTCATTCACCTTGCTGTTCGTTTGATTTTGTCCAATCCATCTTGATTAAAAAATTCAGCTTGAACAAACTACTTATATGTTTGCCTTGGAAGATCAAATATGTGAACACATTCAACATTTTTTACCCAAATTGATGGGTATCAAGCATATTTTCATGGCTATTGTTAGGTGTATTACTGATTGAATATTCTCAAGAAAGAGGCCAGGGCAGTCTGTTTTGACTGGTAAATGAGCCCCCCTCCCCCTTTCCTGTTCTAATATGGATAATATTCATTGAATTTATCAATATATGTATATCAATATCATAAAGGAGTTTCCCAGAACACAAATGATATATTATATGTGCTAAGAGGTGGTCTTGAATAAAGCCTTGTAAATAACTGGTCAGTTCCCCTCCACTGAAAAGTGGAAACAATGATTTTGTCACTTTAATAACTGTATGGGTTATGCAATCACTCACCTCTTACATGTTCTTTCTTTCCTACTCTTAAATAATGATTTGGGGTATTCTTAACTTAACAATAACACAATAGTTTTCTAGTAAACCATAGGTGTTAATACCTCTTGTCAACTAAATATGATTTTATAAAATGTGTGCAATCAACATGTTCATTTAAGCGTTGAAATAAAGAAAACTTGAAAAAGTAGCGACGAAATTGACAAGTGTATATTTGAGAAAAGATGGTCATATCAAACATTGACTAGTTTAATGCATTAACTTTGTGGTTTGCACCTATAAACTTAGCATCAGATAGATAAGTGACCGAACTATGCTCAGTAAAATTTTGGTGCATTTTAGACGAAAAATAAAGGTTTTGTGTTCAATTAACAAATGTTCAAATTTTTTTTGGACCACCCTGTAGTAGCGAATTGACTTGACAGACTTAGCCTACCGAGTGCACTGCTGTTCGATATTTTTACCCTATACGAGACAGAGCACTTTTTAAAGTAATCGATCCAGCAAACAGTGACGTCCATGTCACGTTGCTCATAAGTAGCATCTAAGTTCCTAGAAGTCTGGTTGCACATTTTCTTTCTATACACATCGAGATAACGTAAACACGAGACATCTTTTGATGGTATAAAAAGAACGTTGTTGTAACGTGTCCGTAAAGTTCATTAGTGTGGGAAACATAACAAACAGGAACGTTTGATTTTTTACTACATTGGTCCATATGTGAAGTAACTCAAACGTTAAAATTCAACGTTGTCAAAACAGGCTTTTAATATCAAAATATTTGTTGGTGGAAAAAAACATGACAAAAACTTTGTGTTCTCACTAAGTCGGTTCATTTCCGACGTATAGTTAACGTTCAAATTTAACGTTGTCGAAACGTTTTTTCGATTTGAAATCACTTCAAAACGTGACGTCAATAATGACGTTCATGGACCGTATTGAGTTGACGTTATTTTAATATTATTATTAGTGAGAGTCCCATTTGGTAGCTAAATCTTATTTTTATCACACAATTGGTGGGATATATAGTGATGCATCGTGGTCGTTATCGTGATCATCCCGCTTTTTTTGTCATCGCCATTTCAGGAAAACCACTCATCAGATTTTCTCCAAATTCGCACACATGATGGAGGATATTAGCTTCTAGCGCTGATAACTTTTGAGCGACCATCTTGTTTTCTGGCGGCCATTTTGAAGGTTTTTCAGAAAATCTTGTCATCGCCATTTCAGGATAACCGCTCATAGGATTTTCTCTAAATTTGCACACATGATAGAGGATATCAAGTTCAAGAGCTGATTAACTTTTTTGCGGCCATCTTATTTTCTGGTGGCTATTTTGAAGGTTTTTCGGAAAATCTTGTCATCACCATTTCAGGAAAACACTCATCCGATTTTCTCCAAATTCGCAAACATGATAGAGGATATCAAGTTCTAGAGCTGATTAACTTTTTGGTGGCCATCTTGTTTTCTGGCGGCCATTTTGAAGATTTTTAGGAAAATCTTGTCATTGCCATTTCGAGAAAACGGCTCATCAGATTTTCTCCAAATTCACACACATGATAGAGGATATAAAGTTCTAGAGCTTCCATTGTGAAGGTTTCTCAGAAAATCTTGTCATTGCCATTTCAGGAAAATCGCTCATCAGATTTTTTCCAAATTTGCACACATGATAGAGGATATCAAGTTATAGAGCTGATTAACTTTTAGCCGGCCATCGATTTGTTTTCTGTCCGCCATTTTGGAGATTTTTCTATATATATATATATTTTCTCCAAATTCGCACACATGATGGAGGATATTAGCTTCTAGCGCTGATAACTTTTGAGCGACCATCTTGTTTTCTGGTGGCCATTTTGAAGGTTTTTCAGAAAATCTTGTCATCGCCATTTCAGGATAACCGCTCATAGGATTTTCTCTAAATTTGCACACATGATAGAGGATATCAAGTTCAAGAGCTGATTAACTTTTTTGCGGCCATCTTATTTTCTGGTGGCTATTTTGAAGGTTTTTCGGAAAATCTTGTCATCACCATTTCAGGAAAAGCACTCATCCGACTTTCTCCAAATTCAAAAACATGATAGAGGATATCAAGTTCTAGAGCTGATTAACTTTTTGGTGGCCATCTTGTTTTCTGGCGGCCATTTTGAAGATTTTTAGGAAAATCTTGTCATTGCCATTTCGAGAAAACGGCTCATCAGATTTTCTCCAAATTCACACACATGATAGAGGATATAAAGTTCTAGAGCTTCCATTGTGAAGGTTTCTCAGAAAATCTTGTCATTGCCATTTCAGGAAAATCGCTCATCAGATTTTTTCCAAATTTGCACACATGATAGAGGATATCAAGTTATAGAGCTGATTAACTTTTAGCCGGCCATCGATTTGTTTTCTGTCCGCCATTTTGGAGATTTTTCTGAAAACCACTTGTTGGATTTTCTCCAAATTGGCACACACGATAGAGGATATATCAAGTTCTAGAGCTGATTAACTTTTGGGCGCCCATCGGCATCGTGTTTTCTGGTGGCCATTTTGAAGGTTTTTCGGAAATTCTCGTCAACACTATTTTAGGAAAACCGCTTGTCGGATTGTCTCCAAATTCACACACATCATAGAGGATATCAGGTTCTGGAGCTGATTAACTTTTGAAGTTTTTTTCGGAAAATCTTGTCATCGCCATTTCAGGAAAACTGCTTGTCGATTTTTCTCCAAATTTGCACTTATGATAGAGGATATTTTTTCATTTTCATTTGAGTTACATATTTCTCATATGACTAACAAAGATACAGCCATCTTTATCCCGTGCAAGATATTGCCATCTTTCATCTTAAAAAGCACACGTGCAAGATGAGATTTACTTATGACATTACAGGTTTAAAAACATCATCAGCATGACAACGGATACACCGTTACTATAAGTATCCATGCTCATTCTACAAAATAAGTTGTGACGTCATAACAATCGGACTTTGTTGCCACGCGTAACCATGTGTTTTCTACAACGTTGTTATGACATCATAACAATTGAAAGATGAAGTTCCATTAATTTGAAGCTATTTTCGCTAATTTTTATTATAAAATGATGAAAATATGGCATAATTCAGAGTCATATGAGAAAAACTTTCTTGTACTCGTACCTGTGCAATATCGTCCATTCTTGACTCGCTTTGATAATGTTTCTTTATCTCGTCTGCGACTCGATAAAGAAGAATTATCAAAGCTCATCAAGAATGGACGATTTTGCACAGGTACTCATATAAGAACCTCTATATCTCACACAGACAACATAGGGCATATACGTGTGGTAGGATAATGTAACTTGATATCCCAAGGTAGAAACAGCTCCCCGTAATTAATCTGACAGGAACGGGTATCTTTAACTGGCTAGGACCACAGACAGTTCAATCCAGCACATGCCTTTTATCGAGTTAGTATCACTCTAGTAATCAATTCTCTGGTGTACTAATTAGTATAAGCTGGATCCTGTCGCTGCAGGCTGGGATTGAACCCAGGACCTTGGCATCGGGAGTCCAGTGTGCTAACCTTCATACCACAGAACCGAAACAAGTTGTGAACTTTATCAAGTTGTAGAGCTGATTAACTTTTGGGCAGCCATCTTATTTTCTGGCAGCCATTTTAAAGGTTTTCCGATAAATCTTGTCATCGCCATTTCAGGAAAACTGCTTGTCAGATTGTCTCCAAATTCGCACACATGATAGAGGATATCAAGTTCTAAACCTGATTAACTTCTGGGCAGCCATTTTTTCTGGCGACCATTTTGAAAGATTTTTGATGGTGTGATCTCGTTCATGTCATGGACCTTGTTATATTCTAGCTAATAAGTCAGGGTGTAATCAAGTTTACTCACTTTTTACCCTTTTTTGTAGCCTAAAATGTGAAAAGAAAGTGTTTTCTTTCCAGGTGATTTATGCCCTTAACACCAAAAATGATGAGCATGATGCCATACTACAAAACACAAAGAAACAGCATGAAGAAGAAATACAGCAACTCTTGGCAGAAACCAAAGACAAAGTTTCACTTTATAAAAATAAAATTGGCAGTGAGGTTGAACATAAAAGGCGGATAGAAGCCTTGGAACAAACCTTAGCTGACCATGAAAAACAGAAAAAACAATATCTTGGAGAGTTTGAGGATTACAAAAAGCAAACAGAAGAGAGAGAAATTCAACTAAAGACAGAGCATTCACAAAATGTGCTGGCTTTATCAAAAGATATTTTAGCAGCAAAGCGGACCTTTGAAGATCAGTTGAAAAAATTTGATGATGTTAGAGCTGAATTTGAAAGGGACAAACAGAATGCTTTAGATGACCTAAGAAAAGCACACCATCGAGAAATTGAAGAGTTAATGAAAACCCAACGAAATCAACAAGGTGATATCGAAGGTGCTCAAAAACAATTAGAAGAAAAATATTTCAAGGAAATTGAGGATTTAAAAACACAATGTGATCAATTAAATACAGATAAAAAGACAATAAGTGAGGAATATGAATCCAAATTATCTAAAGCTCAAACATTTTATGAAAAAGAATTACAAGCTCTAAAAGATGGACAAAATGCTTCAGCAGAGGAAAAAATAAGGACGTTAACTACACAAATTGAAACCATGAAAAAAGATCTCTCTTTTAATCAAGTGCAGTATAAAAAACGTGTTGATGATCTTATTGGTCAGTTAAGCTCCAGTGAAGATGAAAGTGCCAAATACAAAGCAGAGTTGGAGAAGTTGCAATCTTTGTTGAAAAACCAAAACAGTGAATCTGGCAATCTTGCAAAACAGGTATGCTTTATTATCCCATCGAACGAAGTTCGGAGGGATATAGGGAACGCCTCCGTCTGTCCGTCCGTACGTACGTCCGTACGTCCGTCCGTACGTCCGTCCGTACGTCCGTCCGTCCGTCTGTCCGTCCGTCCGTCCGTCCGGGCAATAACTCAAATACCGTTGGCCTGATTTTGTTCATATTTCGTACACATATACCCTATGGGGGTAGAAGTTCTGCACGAAAGCCGATTTTCAAAATGGCCGCTCATTTCAAAATGGCGGCCATTTTAGTGACGATTTTACAGTAATTTAGGTGCAATATGTAAAACTGTAATAGCAATATGTTTAAAATGTAAAAAAAATTATGAAGGACATTAATAATGCTACAAATGTAGATATTAAAAAGCACATGGCAGCCATCTTGAAAAATGGCGGCCTTTAGTCGTCATTTTACGATTTTTGCTGTAATTCTAAAAATAGTGGAGCGATTTTGTTCATATTTGGTGTGTGAATACTATAAGCATTGCAGAGTGTCTAAAGACACTTTTGGTAGAAGGCGGCCATTTTGAAAAATGGCCGCCATTTTAACGTATTTTACTATAACTCGAAAAGTAGTGGAGCGATTTTGTTCATATTTGGTATGTGAATACTATAAGCATGGCACACTGTCCTATGACACTTTTGGTAGAAGGCGGCCATTTTGAAAACAATTTTGAAAAATGGCCGCCATTTTAATGTATTTTACTATAACTCGAAAAGTAGTGTACGATTTTGTTCATATTTGGTATGTGAATACTATACGCATGGCAAACTGTCCTATGACACTTTTGGTAGAAGGCGGCCATTTTGAAAACAATTTTGAAAAATGGCCGCCATTAACGTATTTTACTAATACTCGAAAAGTAGTGGAGCGATTTTGTTCATATTTGGTATGTGAATACTATAAGCATCTGGCAAATAAGGATTTTTTCACTATAGCCTAATTTGTCCAGAGACATTTGAAACACTCTCGCCAAAATATTTTTCGTCTGGTCATAATTTTGTCTAGTCAGCATAAATTTTGCCCTCATCTTAAACTGTGCATGAATTGCGAATGGTAAATTAAACTGCTTAAAATAAGTGGAAAGGCAACACATGTCTGTTTCCTGATCCATGAAATTTCAGATTTGGGATTGGCAGGTAGGTAGGTTGGAAAAATCTTACTCATAATTTTTTGAGGGTAAATTAGACAGAACATGCTGATCAAATGTCTATACTAGAGTTGTATGTACTAACAATATAGATAAAGAAAATTGTGTTATTAGGCTATACTGCTAGAGTATGTAGTATCATCAAAGAAGCTTTTATTTCAGAGTTTGGAGAGACCAATATTTTGAAAATGTAGCATCTTTTGAATTGAACCTCTTTAAAATGAACATCATGAACTTTTTTTAGTCTAATGAGGATAAACAAATAAAGAAATCAAATGTGCAAGGAGTTCTAGACAGGTATCTGGTTGTTATAAATGAATTTTGACTTCAACAGTTTTTCATAAGTTATAAAGATGGCAGTGCGATCAATACAGATACAATACCAAAATTGTTACCTCTGAGTAGGCTAACTTCCTGCCTGCTCACGGCAAAATTTAGATGATTTTTCAGTGTTTTTTTCTAAATACTGATGATTATCTGGCTATTTTACTTCAAATTGTTCTTCTCTAAGGTAGGTGGCTTTATGTTCTTCTATTCTGATCATGTTTTAGGTAGAATAAAAAGCTTTGTGAATGGGAATAGGATCAACTATGAAACTTCATTTTTCAAGAATGTCGGGGATAAAAACTGTGAAGTTTAATAGATCTAACATCCAATCGCCAAAATTGTCGAGATAGATAACAACTTCTATCGCCAAATTTTTTTCACTACCTGTTTTTGGCGTTTGGCGACCTCTTATTTGCCACACTCATTTCTAATGACGCTTTTGGTAGAAGGTGGCCATTTTGAAAAATGGCCGCCATTTTAACGTATTTTACTATAACTCGAAAAGTAGTGGAGCGATTTTGTTCATATTTGATATGTGTATACTTTAAGCATGGCACATTGTCTAATAAAACTTTGGGGAGTAGTCGGCCATTTTGAAAAATGGCCACCATTTTTATGTGTGTTATTTTACAAGTACGTGTGCGTTTTCTCAAAAAATTTTAGAGGTGGCTACTTAAAAGCATATTATTTCTTCTGATGACAACTTGGCTAGTGAGCAACCATTTTGAAAATGGTGGCCTTTCTGGTGTGTTGTTTTATGATATTTGCGCTTCGTTTGTAAAAATGCCATCCATTTCTGTTCGATGGGATTCGCTACGCTTTGGCGTTGCCGTTGTTCTGGTTATACAAGCATCCAAAATTATACATACATGAATATAAAAAGAAGTTTAATTTAAAGTAACTAAAAAGTAAGCTTAAATATTGATTTTTGAATTAATATTAATGGATAAAACAGACCAATGTATGGAAGCTGAAGCTGCAGAATACAGATATTCCAAAGATCCCCTGCACAAGAACCTCAAAAAAGTATTGAGATGTCTTGAGAAAGACACTGCTCTTTTCCATGCCCTTTTAACTTCATATCCAGCTAGACTTAGTCACTTTCACGCCTAACCATCGACAATGTACAGTGACAAAATATACCGATGTACACTTTAGATGTACAGTGTCACTATTAACTGATTTGAAGCGAAAACTATGATGTAGGTCTGATGTAGATTTAAAAAAATTAATTTGATTAATTCATGAAGGATTTCTTGTGTATTCGCTCGGAAAGACTTTTAGCTTTCTGATTATGTTAAAAGATTTTCGAGCAGTGCTTGATTTTTTTTTAGTACCCACAAAAATTGATCGGTTGGAAAATGTTGTTTTCTTCACATTCCCTTTGATCATTTTTTCACGTCACCTAAGAATGTCGATTATTTTTATGAGAATATGTTTCTCTAAACTACACAATTTAGGATGAGTGAAGATTTGATGAATATTATGTAATGGGTATAATTTAAAAAAATCAGAAATGTACGTCGTCAACTCCTCTGCACGGTGTCAGTGTAACTGAAATTCAGGAGATGTAATATTAAAAAATGCAATGATTCTATTTCAAAATCCATTCAGGTTTTTAATGAGTAACAAGTTTTGTTCAACGAACATGTTCAAGTATCCCTAATACAGATGTTGCTAAAGATAAGGTAAATGTGGAATGTACTAAAAACCCTTCGACCCTTCGACCCTGCGACCTACGACTTACAGCGTGTCAAGAATTTTTGAAATATATTTTTATAAAAACCCTTCGACCTTCTAGATATTTCTCAGTCCATATGAAGTTGCTGGAAATATTACTTTGTGTATAGAACTTAAGAATCTGTCCCAAGAGAGTTAAAGATATTTAAAGCTGCACTTCGATCGGAGCCGGCGATATGATTTTGGAAAGGTTTCTAAATGAAGAATGTGACGTCACTTCCGAATCATAGCATTCAAAACAAGTAGTGTTTAATTACTTCCACCATTCATAAAATCGCGGTGGTCTAGCGGAAGAATGCTCGCTTAGCACGCGGTAGGCCCGGGTTCGACTCCCGCATTTGCCTTTTTATTTTTTTTAACTAAATGATTGTTCTTTGACATTACGCAGATAATTTTTTTTTTATTTACATAAACTTTATATTAGAGCTTGAAAATGTAAAAACAATATATGTCAACATATTGCGTTTTGGAGCGATGTGCAGGTTTAATGTATTCAAGAACATTCGAATGTGAACGTTTCTTACCTCCTCAGTAAAAATATTTGTGCTTTTCCCATCACATTGTAACAGTGGCGCATCGTGCATATTTTCAGGAGGTCAAATTTTTTATATAGTTTAAGGTAACTTATAACTTAATCAAAAAATCCAAGATGGCCGAAACCAGGAAGCACATGGCATTTGAGTTTAATCTAATCTAATTTCTCTGAAACATCCCTTTAATATAGCCCAAAATGGAAGGAGCTTTAGAATTTTGAAATCCCTCATACAAATTAAAAAAATAGAAAAAACAATTTGAGAAGTGTACTTTTTTCCTTATTTTGATCCCAATTTTTTTATCGGGTAATTTTTCAAATTTCCGTTGCTCCTTCGTTTTTGATATATGTTTGAAATATATTTTCTGAAATGTTCAGATATTTTGAATCAGCGGTTTTTCATGGGCTACTCCTAGAAAAAAATCTTCTTAAATTCTTTAAACGGCACTTTTTTTCTCAAACTAAAGTTTTTTGTTGTTCTTTGATGTCTTTGTAATGATTAGAGTGCACAAGCATATGTGAAATAATAAAAACGACTTCTCAGGAAGAGTTTGAAAATTGTGACATTTTCAATTTTTTCTGAAAATCGATTAAGTTAACAGTCACCTTAAAGAGAACCGTCTTTTGATTTTATCAACTTTGATTCAATTTGGATTTGTATAGTTAAGAATCTATAACGCCAACTAAATAAGTAGATTCTTTGTATTGCATCCTACAAAAGCCAAAGCATGCAAGGGTACAAGGAAAATAAACACAAACCGTCAAGAAAAAGCTTGCAAGCTAGGTCATATCAGGTTCGTATAACCAGCTTTTGCCAATTTAAGTTTTTCAAAAGGATCAAGGGGTGAACATTTGACAATTTTCAAGTGGCCCAGAAATCTTGAAAATGCTCAGAATCGTGAAAAATTGTACTGATTTTGAGAGAATATTTGGCCAATGGAGTTGTCCACTTGAACCCACGAATGTCCCCCCCCCCTGAATATATACATTTTAAGGGCATAAAGGTTATTACAAACACATCTATACAACTATATTTATTAGACATAGATATGAAACATTTCAGAACTAGATAACAGCAACGCGAGGTGGAGCAAATCCCATCGAACTTTTGATCTCAAAATCGTTCAACTACTTTTCAAGTTTTAGTGAAAAAGTAAAATAAGACGAAAAATTTCGAACGCAATGCGTGACATATACGTAATTCGCGTGAAAAGTCCGAACGAAATGCGTACGTTTTTTTCGGCGTTCGTATTTTTGCTGTGTAGACGAACTTTTTTAGAAATTTTTCTGCTGAAACATTTTTGCTTGACAATTACCAGGTAAAATGCGTATTTGCGTGCACAGGGAGCTCAAGTTGGAACTATATGTAATCATTTAGTAAACTGGACTGGGAAATCAGAGGTCGAAGGGTTTTTCAATAAAATATATTCCAAAAATTCTTGACACCCAGTAAGTCGTAGGGTCGAAGGGTCGTAGGTCGAAGGGTTTTTAGTACATTCCGGTAAATGTGATTTTTGGCTCACACAGTAAGCCTATGGGATCGACCAGGCGTCCGTTGGTCTGTCCGTTTGTCCATCAACATTGGCCGCACAAATTAAAACTGCTATTCGGATTGAGTCATATCCACATTCATTTTATGCATATCCATAATGCCTATTTGACCTATCATCGCCATTTCTCAAGTTCGCCCGGTTTCCGAGGAATTGCCGATTTTGACGTCAAAAAGTCAAATTGTAGGCAAATCTGACTTGAGAAACTGAGTACTGAGTAATTAAATAATTAATTTGAAAAATCAACTTTTTTTGGATGTAAATTTTGGTCACCTTAATCACAAAAGACCTACGTGAGCTCTGAATAAGTAAAATGTTCAAGGTCAAAGGTCCTCAAACTAGATCACAAACTGTGCTATCTAAGTTTCTCAAAGTTCGAGACTACAAATCAAAATCAATAATTTTGTTTGAAAATCAGGATATACATTCCTCTGAAGGTTCTACACTGTGCGAGCACAGGACCGTGGGTCCTTTATTAAATTTTGTTGAATGGTATTTTATTTTATGAAAGTGTTGGTGTGGTGATCAATAGGTGACCATGGGCTGTTAGCTTCCAACCTCTTGATCATTTGGCGTCTGTATGTTACTGTAATAACTGGCGTTTAACGTAACATGGACATACTACTCCATAACGTAAAGATCATGCTACGTGTATATCTATAGGGGTTTGGTATATTCTTTAGATCATTAATTTGATATATTTGTCAACCACAAATGGTAATAAGACACTTTTATGAATTTCAATAATCTGAAGAAGTTCACAGAGAGATCTATACTGGCTAGTCGAAGACGACTTTTTGAAATCCTGTTTATGCTATAAAAAGTGCAGAGGTTCAATAGTTCAATAAAGTTGAAGTAATACTGTAATTGTTCAGTTTCAATTTTAGATGCATCTGACCCCCCTGCCCGTTAGTGTTATGAAAAATACATTTTTCTTTTCCATTGTTATGGTCTCCGTTTTTTGACAGTGGTTGGTGGTTGGCAGTTGGCGTCTGTAACAAATTCTTACAACTTCCAATAACTTAACAAATACTGTTTAGACTGACTTCAATATTTTTCAAAATCATCTACATGTTTTCATAAGTTCAAATCTGTATTTATATACAAGATTTGACCTTCTATGACCTTTTCAAGGTCAAAAAGGTCTTTTTTCAACTTGTTTCAAATTGACCAATTGTTTTTTTTCAAAATCATCTACTAGATTTGAGATTTGACCTTCTATGACCTAGGGCAGGGCTGTCAACTTGGGACCACCTAATATGAGTGACTTCAAAATGTTGGACACCTAAGTCCAAATCTGAACACTTTTGTCCAAATTTTGAACACCTTTGGCCAACTTTTAAACACCTTTGGCCAAAGTTTGAGCACCTTTGCCAAACTTTGAGCACCTCAAATTTTTCGCGCTCGCTACGCTCGCAATATCGTCAACGGGGGGGGGGGGGGGGGGGGGGGGGGGGGAGGGACGAAAATTTCCAATGAACATGCGTGACATATACGGGATTCGCGTGACAAATCCGAACAAATTGCGTTCGGTTTTTTTTCCGACGTTCATATTTTTACCGTATCATAAACATATTTCGAAAAAAATTCTACAGTAATATTTTTGCGTGACAATTACCAGGTAAAATGCGTATTTGCGTGACATTTTCTGTCACGCAAAAAAAACTGGCGTGACTTCAAATTCTTCAGCAAATGCGTGACAAATACGCAAATTGCGGGACAGTTGACAGGCCTGCTAGGGTCATAAAAGGTCAAAAAGGTCTTTTTTCAACTAGAATAACTTCAATTTTTTCAAAATCATCTAATTGTTTTCAGAAGTTCAAATCTGACTTAATATAAGCAGAGATCACGGTAGACGTTCGCCATTCGCCAATCGCGAATTTTCGAAAGAGGTGGCGAAAAATATGTAAAGGTATTTCGCAGTTATGGCGAATTCCCTTTTTTTACTGTTTACTCACCAAACAACTTCATTAATGTTGAAATTGAATGACTTTTCAGAAGAAAACTTTTTCGGAAAAGTAGATTTCTGGTCACTCATGAATCAGTATTGTGGCGCGTCATCATGTATCTGTATATTCACTCCGGGGTAGTTGTGTCCTTCAAAAATGCCATAAAAAATGCCTAACAATCTTAAACGCAAATTCCGTGAGTATTTTATTCCATTTTTTAAAAGGAAAACAGTCATTATTTATCATATTTTGGTTGGCTAAAAATTTTTTGGAAGAATTAGCCACAACAAATTTTTTCAACTATCGTGATCTCTGATATAAGATTTGACCTTTTATGACCTTTTCAAGTTCAAAAATGGTCAAAAAGGTCTTTTTTCAACTTGTTTCAAATTAACCTTTTTTTCAAAATCATCTACAAGTTCTCAACAGTTCATATATATTTGACCTTCAATGACATTCTCAAGGTCAATGACCTTCTCAAGGTCAGAAAGGTCTTTTTCATTTTGCTTCAAATTGACCAATTTTTTTCAAAATCATCTACAAGTTCTCAGAAGTTCAAATCTGACTTTAGATTTGAGATTTCACCTTCAATGACCTTCTCAGGGTCAAAAAGGGTTTCTTTTAACTTGCTTCAAATTGACTAATTTATTTTTTCAAAATCATCCACAAGTTCTCAGAAATTCAAATCTGACTTAAGATTGAACTAATAATATTGTGAGCAACTAGGTGGTGACATTTTGTCATGTTAATAACTTGTCTACATTAGGGTTAACTGTGAATTGAGATATGTAAGTTGAATCAGACAACATACATCGAGTTGACAACGTACACTTATGATTTTTTTAAATTGTAGCCAAAACGTAAATATTTATTAAATCTTCAACCGACCTTTATTGTGCAATTTAGAGAAAAAATCGAGCACTGGAAAATCTTTTAACATAATCAGGTAGCTAAAAGTCTTCCCAAGCGAATTCACAAAAAATTGAACATGAATTCCTTTGTGTATTCCTTAGATTAAATTTCTTAAAACCTACATCAAACCTACATCATAGTTTTTGCTTCAAATCAGTTAATAGTGACACCGTACATCTAAAGAGTACAACAATATATTTTGTCACTGTATGTTGTTGATGGTTAGGCGTGACTTTAGGCTGCCTAAAATGGTCATACTCACGTTGAAAAGTTTGTTCAAAATATGTCTTATTTTCTTTCATGCTTCTTCATCTTTCCACACTTTAACAAAAATTAAATGCTCTTTCCAATGGTATATTGTATAATGTATGTGTGTGTACATTTCCTAGTTTATGCTGTGGATGGGGTCCACAACGCCATTTGACACCCTGTACATCCCTTTAACTACCAATTGGGTATTCTTTTTGTATGCAGTGCTTTGTATAAAAAACCTCCTACCTCATACCCACCTACCCACGTACGTGGGACATGATACAGTCTTTGAAGGGTTCAATTTTAAAGATCTTAGTTTATTAAATCTTAGTTTATGATGAATTATACTTATAGATGCATTTGTAACGACTCTTGATAGCAAGTTGCTACTACAGCCCAGCTGAGTTCGATTCCCACTCGGGGTATCGAATTTAGCACACTTTTTTTCAATTTCTTTATCTGGCTTGTTGGACCTATGCTCGCGGTCGTTAGTTAGTTATTCCCTTGGGGCGCCCTCAGGTCATTACACATTACAATGCACCCATATGCCTTTATTTATGGATCTGTCATCCGTCTAGTCATAAAATAAAGCCGGAATTGTAGAAATGTTAATAATTAGAGCTATTTAAGATTTAAAAATCTTTAAAATTGAACCCTTCAATGAGTGTATCATGTCCCACATAGGTTGGTAGGTGGGTATGAGGTAGGAGGTTTTTTATACAAAGCCGGTATGCAGTACTGTACCTCAATGGAGATTATTTGCTCATGATGGAGATAACTGTATTTGTATACACCTTTTGTAATAACAAAGAGAGTAATGGGGTACCCAATTGTATGATTTAAAGCTATAATATGGCCACTTCTGCTCTTTAAGTATATAATTATCACAACCTACACTAGAATTTGAATTTTAAAAATCATGTTCACATATTTTTCTATTTGATGTATTTATTTTAGCTTGCCCAGGCTCAGGCTGAAGCTGCCACTGCTTTAGAGAAGTTACGCCAATTGGAACCAGAGTTGATAGGTCTACAAGAAAGGTGTAAAGAACAGGCAGCAGAGATGTTAAAACGATCAAGTCAGTATTACTTGTATTAGTCATTTCTTTCACACCAGAACAACCTGACAACGGTAAAGTCAGATACCATTGTCACAAATGGTGAATGTAACCGTCACTTCAACTTTTTAATCACTTGGTTCTCATTTCATGGGACCTTATCATCGCTGATTCTGTGCATGTATTAAGCTCTTGTGATGGTGTATTATATGAAATCCCAATTTTGATGAATTAATTGTGGTCGTGAATCTCCACAATATACCGTCTTCCATATCGTCAATGACAATGGAATCTGAATTTCAAATAATTAACAGAGAAAGGATAGATCTGAACCAGTATCCGTTGTCCCTTCACCATGTCATACTTTAATCGGTAAAATTAAGGATTTTACTTCGATGGTAGAACATATTGAACTATACAATGAATAGAAAGACATTTTGATTGATTATTCTACCAAAGGAATTGAATCTAAGTGCTCTAATAAAATGCAGTTAATGAAAATCGAATCGAATACGAACCTGTGGTCACCATTTGTGACAACGGGTATTCCGGTGTATCTTTGACCGTTTTTCAAATACTTAAATCGACAATATAATTGGATGATAGATTATAAAATTCAGTCTCATCCTGTGTTTGCAGTATGTTTGTAGTTGTAGTATGTTAATATATAGATATTATATAGTTCAACACTTATTTGATACATATATGTTTTCTGGCATAACATGTGTTTGATGATTTTTTATTTGAAAAATGCTGTATTTGATTAATGTTTTCTGGAGAACCCTGTGTTGAATAAATGTTTTTGGGACCCATTATTTGATTCGTGTGTTCAGGGATTGATGAATATTTCCTGGAAAACCTTTTTTAATTTCAGCTTTGTTTGGTGAGCTAGAAGCAACCAAAATCCAAAATGAGGCTACAATTAAAGATCTTATGTCAGAGCTGAATAAACTGCGTGACAAAGTATCATGGTTGGAGCAAGAGAGATCATCTTTAAGTGACCTTAGTCAAACACAGATCTCAGAATCAAGTAACAAATTGAAGGCTTTAGAGCAGGTAAGGAAACTACCAAAATATTAAACTGGTCATCAAATAGTTCTGTCTTCTCATCTTATTGATTCGGGTTAATTTACATGGCAGGTATATAAGAAAGTTCCCTTAGAATTGAATATTATCAGTTAAAGTGGATCAATTTTCATAGAATCCTTATGTGTCTTTGCATTACCTCTTAAAACACAGTTGCATTTATTTGACACCCTAGTTCTGCCAATATTAATGTATGGTGCCGAGATATGGGGTATGACAAATAACAAACTGATCGAAAAACTACATCTTAAATTTCTAAAATATATTCTTAAGGTAAAGAAAACAACTCCAAACTATATGGTTTATGGGGAACTTGGTAGATTCCCTCTATATATAAAGTCTAACACATGTATCTTGAAATTTTGGTATAAATTAGCAACAAGTAGCTCTGACAGTTTAAAGATGAGTGAAAAAATGTACAAATTGTGTAAAAATATGTATGACAGGAATGTATTTTCCTCAAATTGGTTTACTTATGTGAAAAACACATTAAACAATCTTGGCATGTCAGATGTTTGGATAAATCCAAAGTCAGTTAGTTATGCAGAGTTTATCAAAAAAGTAAAAGTAAGGATGCAAGATCAGTTTTTACAAAAGTGGAATAGTGACATGAAAGTCAGTAGTAAAAGTTACAACTATAAAATATTTAAAACAGAATTTTCATTTGAACAGTATTTAGACTGTATGCCAGATAAATATAGAAAAGTTCTAATTATGTACAGATTGTGTAATAATAAACTTCCAGTTGAAAGAGGACATTATAAAAATATGCCTAGGGAAAATAGGTTTTGTGATTTATGTGGTAAAGGAATAGGTGATGAATTTCATGTCATTTTAGAATGCAAAGCTCAGTCTACGATTTCGTTTTCAGCGCATTCTTGCCAAGAATGACTACTAAAAATTATTAGTTCTCGCCATATGAAATTTGTACTAGTCCTGTTTTGGGCAGTCCACCCGTGTAGCTCAGCGGTAGCGCAGGTACCTCTTACGTGGAACAATCTTCCCTAATCCGTAATAGACACCACAGAAATAAATCAATTCAAGAATGGAATTGATAAGCACCTGATAAGACAGAAATTTCTTCCCCACAACTAAACCCATGTCCAGGGAGCAATTAAACAATGCCCCACCCTTCCCCCTTTAATATGACATTAAAATAAGATATAAAAAGAACTGAATCATACAGGACTATCCTTCTTTCCAGAATAATAGACATAGATATATTTGCCTCAAAAAATAGTATTTTTCTGACTTAAAAGTACACAGAATTAGCTTTAGAAGAATGTTTCAAGTCAAACAATTCAGAGAAAACATGTTGTCTTATGAGAACATAAACATTGGTAGTCATGTGATCAGACCAATCATATACCAATATCCAATACCAATCATGCTGTTTCAACATTCAAATTTAAATTTCCCACTATAATAAACATTCCTAAGTGGCTCTAAGTGAAAGGTAAACCTGCTTATTTTATGCAGCTGTTGCGTTTTAGAGTTTCCCTCCCCAAGATTTTATTTTTTATTTCAAATCTACATGGTAAAATGGGAACTGCAAACTTTATTGAAGGGGGTATGCTTATTGAAAGCAATTACAAGTATTTTTCTCAATAGATGTCTCCCTCTGAAAATTGCCGGTTTTTAAGACTTTATTTTGGAAAAATAAGAATCTGTAAGGTAAGTAAACACTTTATCTTATGTTTTGAGAAGTTATAGCCTAAAAGTCGCCACAATAATGGTATTTTGTTCTAGACACGTGTGGCAAGTTGTTTTAGCTCATTTTCGCCCCAGCAGTTTTATTTCCGCATTTGGCGAGGTGCGACAGACGAAATCGTAGACTGAAAGCTATATTAGAAAAAGATACCTTCCTAAATGTTATACCACAAGACCAAACACACAGAAGTTTGAGAAATTAATGAATTCAAACAAAAATATACTCATAAAACTTTGTAAATTTTTAATTGAGGCTGGGCAAAAAATGTTCTTACATGTATATAAATGTTATTATAATGTTTGTTACTGTATTAGTTAAGTTTGTCTTTTGTACTCTTATACCCTATAAGGGGTGAATTGAGAAATCAATAAATAAATAAAATAAATAAATATACAAACGAAAATATGTCCTATAAAAGAAAATATTATCTGCCCAACACGAGAAACTTTTTGTTATTTTGTAACATCACTCTGTTATACCATGAAGGCTATGTCAAGGCGATTTTCAAAATTTCGCAGTAATGATAACAAAAAATGGCAGATGGGAAAGACAGCATGTCCTCTTTCTCGCCTGTAGGCAAAATTTACAGGTAACATTTCCTTTTAACTCCCTCATGCCTGAAAATTTTGGGGAAAATGGAAAGAAATAAAACTAAAATGTAAATGGCTCCAGAAGCAAGAAAGGGAAGCAATAACCAATAAGTAATATATCATTTTGAAGGGCTATACCCATACTTTATGTTTTTTGAAAAAAATGTGAATATGCAAATGAGATAGTGTCATTGTGACGTCATAATTCAAGATGGCGCAGTTAGATTTTTTTTAAAATGAAATTATTTTAGCATTTAATTTTTTATTGAGACTTCAATTTAAAAATCTGAAAACGCAGAATTATAGATCTTTTTATGCTGATTCCAGTGGTATTTGTGTCATGGCATAACTCATACAAATAAATTTTTTAGAACTTCGAGACTGCAGATCCTCGGAAAATCCCTATGGCGATTTAACATGGGATTTTATCGTTTTCGATATTTTTTCGCCACATGTCAGATTCAAGTGCCTCTAACTTTGCACAGAGTCATCAGATTCAAACAATCTTTTTTTTTAAATGTTCCTACTGGTCCATACTTTTAGATAATGCATTATTCTTGCAGTTTTATTGAAATGAGGACCCTCGAGACCCCTTAGAATAGCAATAAAGCAAAATCGATCATATATGATCGATTTTGTTCTAAGGGGTCTCCAAGGGACCACCGATAATCAAAATGCATTTATCAATTTATTTAATCTTGAAGTCTGTACAAACATTTTAAAAAAAGTTCATGACTTTTTGTTAAGTATTTACAAAGTTACAGTGATCCGAAGTCGGTGAGCGCGTGAAAAATTGCGAAAACTAAAAATCCCAAAACTTTTGCACCATGAAATTAGAGGTGTGAACCATACTGTATTTTACATTTTAGGCTCTGGAAGACATGTCAATAGAGAAACAAACTATGAAAGAAAAGCTGGAGAGAGATCTGATGAATGTAGAGGAACGTGGTAAACAACATGAAAAACAGCTCATAATGGACCATCAAACATCAGTAGAAACACAAAGTAAACAACACATGAATGAACTGCAAGTTCTTGTACAAGAATCAAGTCTCAAGTATGAACAATTAAAAAATGTAAGTAAAAACATTTACTTTACATTTAGATCTTACTTCTCTAGGATTGCAGATCTTTTCAAGAAAAAACTCACTAATTAAAATTTAGAGAAAAACTAGGTCATTATATTCTAACATTAGCTTGTTTCATGAATCAGTTTGAATAATTCATCATTGATGTCATTTTTTTATTATATGTAAATCATCAAAGGAGGAGGGAAGATAGTGCAACAGATTTTTGACAGTTGATTATTTTTTTGTAAGTAGTTTCTGGCTATAAAAAATGAATGTATATGAAAGGCCAATGTATAATCTTCAAGAAAAGTTCAAAGAATGATTTCAAGATCAATTGGATTATCTCATAATCCATGTTTAATCCACCCATATTAACAAGCTTTTTTGAAAATACATTTGTCATTTTTACCATCATCCATCATTTTTTCTACAATTTTTCATGCAAAGTTACATTGTACTTGAACATGTGTCTCATCATGTAGAATATATAAATGATTCCATAATTATCCCATCGAACGAAGTTCGGAGGGATATAGGGAACGCCTCCGTCCGTCCGTCCGTCCGTCTGTCTGTCCGTCCGTCTGGGCAATAACTCAAATACCGTTGGCCCGATTTTGTTCATATTTCGTACACATATACCCTATGGGGGTAGAAGTTCTGCTCGAAAGCCGATTTTCAAAATGGCCTCTCATTTCAAAATGGCGGCCATTTTAGTGACGATTTTACAGTAATTTAGGTGCAATATGTAAAACTGTAATAGCAATATGTTTTAAATGTAAAAAAATTTATAAAGGACATTAATAATGCTAAAAATGTAGATATTAAAAAGCACATGGCAGCCATCTTGAAAAATGGCGGCCTTTACTCGTCATTTTACGATTTTTGCTGTAACTCTAAAAATAGTGGAGCGATTTTGTTCATATTTGGTGTGTGAATACTATAAGCATTGCACATTGTCTAAAGACACTTTTGGTAGAAGGCGGCCATTTTGAAAAATGGCCGCCATTTTAACGTATTTTACTATAACTCGAAAAGTAGTGGAGCGATTTTGTTCATATTTGATATGTGAATACTTTAAGCATTGCACATTGTCTAATAAAACTTTGGGGAGTAGTCGGCCATTTTGAAAAATGGCCACCATTTTTACGTGTGTTATACTATAAGCATGGCACACTGTTCTATGACACTTCTGGTAGAAGTCGGCCATTTTGAAAACAATTTTGAAAAATGGCCGCCATTTTAATGTATTTTACTTTAACTCGAAAAGTAGTGGAGCGATTTTGTTCATATTTGGTATGTGAATACTATAAGCATGGCACACTGTCCTATGACACTTTTGGTAGAAGGCGGCCATTTTGAAAACAATTTTGAAAAATGGCCGCCATTTTAACGTATTTTACTAATACTCGAAAAGTAGTGGAGCAATTTTGTTCATATTTGGTATGTGAATACTATAAGCATGGAACACCGTCTATTTCTAATGACGCTTTTGGTAGAAGGTGGCCATTTTGAAAAATGGCCACCATTTTAACGTATGTTACTATGACTCGAAAAGAAGTGGAGCGATTTTGTTCTTATTTGATATGTGAATACTTTAAGCATTGCACATTGTCTAATAAAACTTTGGGGAGTAGTCGGCCATTTTGAAAAATGGCCACCATTTTTACGTGTGTTATTTTACACGTACGTGTGCGATCTTTCAAAAAATTTTTGAGGTGGCTACTTAAAAGCATATTATTTCTTCTGATGACAACTTGGCTAGTGAGCAACCATTTTGAAAATGGTGGCCTTTCTGGTGTGTTGTTTTATGATATTTGCGCTTCGTTTGTAAAAATGCCAGCCATTTCTGTTCGATGGGATTCGCTACGCTTTGGCGTTGCCGTTGTTCTGGTTTTGTTTTTTGAAAAAATGAACTTCTAAAAATGCATGTGTACAGAAATAATTTAGAAGTGGTGTAAAAGGTGGCAATGTTTTTCAATAACATTAATACCAGCACATTTAGGGTGCATTTTCGTATGCCAGCAGGTGCAATCCACCCGCACAACATTTAATGAGCCTTGTCAGCAGGTATCACAAAAAAGAACAAAAAGCTCCGCGATGCAAATTACATGCTCACATGTTTTCAACAATAACAGCTCATTCAAACTCTTTTGACCGGGAAGTTGACTAATTCATCCTATCGATAACTAGATAATGGCAACTCCGCGGAGTAGCAAATCCCAACGAACAAAATATCAATTACCGAATTCCAATCAATTATACTCATTACTTTGGTTGAAAATGAAAAAATTAGATTTTAGAATTGTGAATTCCTGCAAAGCAGCCATTTTGAATTTTCTGAGGTACAAATCTGAAAAATAATACCATAATTGTGATCTACTCCAAAATTCCTTCAATTTGAGTATAATATAGCCATACTTTGAAGGGACCAAAAATTATTGCGAAATCGTACATTAGACGGCCATTTTGAATTCCACAAGGCTCGAATCAGATAAAAGATACAATATTTGCAATCTACTCTTAATTGCCTTTCATTTGAGTATAATAAAGCTATACTTCAGAAAGATCTAAAAATTAGCGAAAATTTCTGTTTTCCTGTCCCCCCATACATGGCCCCTGGGGGTCAGGATGAAAAACACGGAATATATCTGAAATAGATAAATGTTGTGAATACACTACCAAAATTTCAAACAATAATATTAATTACTTTGGTTTAGAATGAAAAATTTATGATTTTTGCGATTAAAGCGGCGGCCATCTTGAAAAATTTTTTTTTTGCGTAAAACTATTCACCATACATCTTTCCACTAAATATGAAGAAAATCTGTCAACTAGTATTTGAGTTATCTTCCGGACAGACGGACGGACTGACTGACTGACTGACTGACTGACTGACGGACAGACGGACGGACGGAGGGCTTCACTATATCCCTAACGAACTTCGTTCGTTGGGATAACTACAGGACGTCGACTATAGTCGACTTTTATACACGTACTATGCTGATAAGTTTTCCATTGTATTTATAGATGTCAGGCTATGTCAAACCTTGTGGATTATGTTTGTACAGGACAAAACATAAACGTAACAGGAAGTTAATGATACTTTGTGACTTTTTCATAAAATAAACCAATGTTTTCTCTAATATTATTTGAAATAAAGAAAAGGGATTTAAAATGGCTGCTGCTAGAGCTCAACTCTCATATGTATTAGGGCTACTGACGACAATTTTGATCAAATATTCAATGATTTGGACAGTGAAAACGATACTTGATGAAACGTGGTGAAAATTATGATTTAATTTAGATTTTTGGATGGTATTATTTTATTTTTATTATTACATAGAATATTATTTAATTTTATTCTATTTATCTCATTGATATCAATTGCTAGTCTATACGCTAGAATTTTTATGTTTTGATGGGTTGAAATTGTAGAACAATATATTGACAGCATGCACTTGCAAGTTAAAAAGTTATGACTGTTTAGAAATATAAAATCGGTCAAAAGTAGACAATTTTCAGGAAATTAATTACTGATCCTAGCAATGTAGCAAATTTGCTAATTACTGGTCAAAAGAGTTAAACCTTTTAATTCCGCTATGCCAACTTTGTCAGTTACGCTCGTTCCGGTCAATCGCTGGAGCACCGCAGGGGTTCCATTGACACAAACTTTGGTGTCTGTGTGCGCTTGAATGAGTCATTTTTTGTTAAAAACATGCGACCATGCAATTCACACCATGAGGTCCTTTGATCGTTTTCATGATAAGGCTCATTAACTGCTGTGTGGGTGTATTGCACCTGCGTGTATACGAAAATGCAGCCGTGGTTTGGTGAATTACTCATGTGAGTTGTTTTTTAATCCTGTATTCACTGACTGAGTTAGCCAGTTGAAAAAACATTGAGATTAATAATACAAACAATAATACTATAAATACTTTGTACTTCAAGCACATAAAGGGCTTTCAGGGTTCTGTGTTGAAATACTAGATCACCTTATCAAAAAAAAAACAGCACCGTAAGAAAGTTGAATAATTTGGTCAATTTTGTATATTTTGACTTGAAAGGGTCTAGTGCACTTTCCCCATGAACAAAATGAATCATTTTTAGGTGTAACATAAAGAATGTCACATAATACTTTGGAAAATATTTAAGCAATTGGACCCACATGGGCTGAGGTTGAGGTCATTAAGTTCAGCAAGGGTATATTGACTTGACATTGGATGTGTTCTATTGACTTAACATGTGGATACCATCAGATTCCAATGGTTTCTATTGATTTTCACAAAAATACCAAAAATATACTATGACCTGAATCGATATCACAATATGACACAAATGGTATATCACATCAAATGTGCAAATATAAAGTTCAAGCCGACTTCAAATTCACTGGTGATCCACTCGATTACGCCGGTTACCAAAACGGTTCGTTTTGGTAACAAAATGTCGGAACATCCGGAAGGTACGATTTGTCTCATTTCCTTATTTTACACGTTGTAGGCAGAATTCCCACGACATTTTTTAACACAAACGTGTATCAGTATCATATGTTTAAGAAAGTGTACATATTTGCGAGGAAATAGTTCAGAAGACAACAGAATGGTAGATTTACTTCCTCACTTAAGTTACATAAACGGTTTGGGTTAAAAGTGCAGATCTTAACTGTTTTTCGAAAAATCGTTTATGTAACTTAAGTGAGGAAGTAAATCGACAATTCTGTTGTCCTCTGAGCTATTTTTTCGCAAACATGTACATTTTCTAAAACATATGATACTGGTGCACGTTGTGAGAAAAAACGTCGTGGGGATTCTGCCTACAACGCGTGAAATAAGGAAAAAAGAAAAATCGTGCCTTCGACGTTCCGACATTTTGTTACCAAAACGGTTCGTTTTGGTAACCAGCGTAATCGAGTGGATCACCAGTGAAATTAAAAGATTATACATTTTTTCATCATTTTTTTGACACAAAAAGACTTCCTGGTTTGGCATCTCTACCCCTGTTCACTT